TAAGAGGAGGTTTCAAGTGAAGGATGAATAACCGAAGTTCTTCACTGTTTATCCTAATTTGAATGATTAGTTTTGTTCAAAAATTTCTATTAGTCTTGGGTTTTTTAAAAAGGGTTGGATAGTGAATCGACGTTTGAGGTCGTTAGACACTAGCTAAGTGGGTGGGGGAGAACAAAATTGTTCTTTTTGATCCAAAGATAGGCCTTGATGATCAAGTTTTAAATTTAATTAAATAGAAAATTAATTAAGATCCAAGGATAAGCCTTGATGATCTGATTTTAAAATTAAGTGAATTTAAGTTTAAAATGGTTTAAATTTGTTTAAGAAAAAGATTTAGTGTTTTAATGATATTAGTGAGCTTATGATTGCTGTTATGTTTTAGGTGATGAAGCTGGGACAACTGATGATTTTATGATTACTAACAGTTTATTGTCATGCTACTAATTTTTGTTTTGATTTTCAATAAATATTTTCCAAACATGTTTTATATAATACTGCAGAATTTTAGGAAAACGATCTGAGATCTTTTTATCAATCGTTATTGTACATTAATAATTTTGTTTAGCGCCTGAAATGATCATGAAGATTGACTTCAAGATTTTATGTTTGTAAATGAAAATCTAAATTCATTGCTAATAAAATTCTAAATATAAAAGTTTGTGTTGGCTTCTGCCGTACTATCATATAACTATTTGGTAAGTTTCTACTTTGTCGTATGTCGTCTCTGGTTCGAGCTCTTCTTCCAATTCCGGGTAGTTCTAATATCGTTCGGAATATTGGCTCTGATCTATTGAGTCGTAGAGACATTTCGATTAAATTATCGTCGTATAACATTTTAAAAATGTTTTGTCTAAATTCTAATCTATTTTTGGTTAATTCTAAGCTATTAAGGTCTTGTTCGAGACTTATGGTCGCACCAGATGAGTTATAACCGATGGTCTTAACTCATAGAGTAATTTCGGATAGGGTACACCGTCTGCTCGTCACGCTATCTTATTTTCGGCCGGATAGATTCGTGCAACTTCTTAGTCTAATACCGATCCTAATCTTACTCTTATACTATCTAGTCTCAGGTTGTTTAACTAGTCTCTGCTAGGCTCAATAGATCTAGGGTATACTGGTTTATTGCGGCTGCTGAAGTTCTCTTGGAGAGGCAACTAATCTCTAAGTTAAATTCAAATCTCTCTGGTGCTGAAATTACAAGTAATCTCAGCACTTACAAATAAGTGGGTTGTTAGTTAGATGGATCATGATTGGTTAATATTAAATACTTTACAGTGGTAAAATATCTAATTTATCCAATCATAAAATGTAGTTTAGATCAGGTTCCAGTTGGTAGGGATTTCAGATATTTATAGAGAATGTTGCGTCTGCCCTGCAAACAAAACACCGTTTTGAAATAAACTTTCAAAAAAATGCTCAGTATTTGAGCGGTTGTTGCAGTGATTTGAGCAATTTTGAACAGATTTAAACAGATTTGAGCAGTTTGATTGTTTCTTGCGAGGATGAGAGCAAACAAAACACCGTTTTGAAATAAAATTTCAAAGAAATGCTGAAAATTGAGCGGTTTGAGCGGTTGTTGCTATGATTTGAGAAGTTTTGAACAGATTTGAACAGATTTGAGCAGTTTGATTGTTTCTTGCGAGGATGAGAGCGGTTTTTGAGCTGTTTGAGTGCAATCTTCTAGAATAACCGCCCAATCTGTGAAAATCTTCAGCAGTTTTTGAGCGGGATTTCAAAAAGGAAACAGTTATCATGATTAATTTGAACCTGAATTTTATTATAATTTTGAAAATTGAAAATGTGCACAACATTGGACACAAATCATGGTAGAAAAATTGATCTAATTCCGGATTACAAATGAATTAAAACGTAAAAATATCGGTCAGTCTTTACATAAGCCTTGTAAAAGATACACTAATGCCTTTAACTCAAATCGAATCAATTTTTAGTATTGATCTAATTTGCAGGGATTTATCTTGATATGTGGAGGCTTGCTATTTGTTTTCAGTTTCGAAATTTAAACAAAAATTTGCTTATTAATTCGATGGATTTTTTGTAAGCACTTAATTGTGTGACTGTCATACCAAAAACCTTTGAAGCATTATTCGGACTTTTAAAAAACTTCAAAAGTTACTATAGTTTTGAGAAATTACATTTTGACTTATTTAATTTTTAATGAGACTAAATTTGCGAACTAGGGGGGGGATTTTCAAAAACTAGTCGAAAGTTTTATCGACCTGTGTTTAGGTCAGCCAAATTGATTTTCCGAGCTCTCCCAAAGCACTTAAAAGACTCTGTTTTGGCCAAATTTTCTGCAGCGCTTTTAGAGGCTTTCTTAAAGCGTTTTTAGGCACTTTTTCTAAAAATGTTGACCAAAAAATTGCGTTTTTTCGGCGCGCACTCCCCCCTCAAAATTAGTATACATTGGCACCTAAGGCGCCTTTAAAAAATTTTCAGGGTCCGTCACCAAAAATGGATGTCTCAAAACAGTACAAAGAGTGGCCTTTTGGGTCAGCAGAGGATCGAATCCCTGAGAAAAAACGTTCACTCCTCCCCCCCCTCCTAAAACCGCCCCTGATTCTCATGCAGTTTTAACATTTACTCAGCCAAAATTATGCAATAAATTTGAAGTTTTTTACAATTTTTTTGCGTTTCTTTGCTTTCGTTACCTCAAAATTTTTGTGCTACGTGCAACCGGCTATCCTTGTTATTTTTAAATAAAGTACTGTTTGAAACATAGCTGCGGTTATCTTTTTGGTCTTTGTTCATTTTAATTAAATTCCCCCGTTTTTCAAGAATATTAGTTTTGGATAAAAAAATAGATAAAAGGTCTGTAAAATTAAAAAAGACGCTCGCTTCAGGAAAAAGCCCTGAAGGTTCAGGCTGCTGGAAAGTTTCCATCACATCTTTGTACTTTTTACGATACTTCGAGCTAATCTCTGAGCATATCTTATTTAAGCTCCTGAATATGTCAAAAGTTCATAGATTGTGAATAAATAGGTTCACTTTCAAAAGTGTTTAGATATGAACACAAACAAAATAGAGCAAAGCCCTGAATGGCAAAGCCCTGAATGTTCCGACTGTCTTTTCAGGTCTATAGAGCAGTAAGAACCAGAGCAAAGCCCTGAATGTTCCGACTGTCTTTTCAGGTCTATAGAGCAGTAAGAACCAGGGCAAAGCCCTGAATGTTCCGACTGTCTTTTCAGGTCTATAGAGCAGTAAGAACCAGAGCAAAGCCCTGAATGTTCCGACTGTCTTTTCAGGTCTATAGAGCAGTAAGAACCAGGGCAAAGCCCTGAATGTTCCGACTGTCTTTTCAAGTCTAGAGCAGTAAGAACCAGGGCAAAGCCCTGAATGTTCCGACTGTCTTTTCAGGTCTATAGAGCAGTAAGAACCAGGGCAAAGCCCTGAATGTTCCGACTGTCTTTTCAGGTCTATAGTGCAGTAAGAACCAGGGCAAAGCCCTGAATGTTCCGACTGTCTTTTCAGGTCTATAGAGCAGTAAGAACCAGGGCAAAGCCCTGAATGTTCCGACTGTCTTTTCAGGTCTATAGAGCAGTAAGAACCAGGGCAAAGCCCTGAATGTTCCGACTGTCTTTTCAGGTCTATAGAGCAGTAAGAACCAGAGCAAAGCCCTGAATGTTCCGACTGTCTTTTCAGGTCTATAGAGCAGTAAGAATCAGGGCAAAGCCCTGAATGTTCCGACTGTCTTTTCAGGTCTATAGAGCAGTAAGAACCAGGGCAAAGCCCTGAATGTTCCGACTGTCTTTTCAGGTCTATAGAGCAGTAAGAACCAGGGCAAAGCCCTGAATGTTCCGACTGTCTTTTCAGGTCTATAGAGCAGTAAGAACCAGGGCAAAGCCATGAATGTTCCGACTGTCTTTTCAGGTCTATAGAGCAGTAAGAACCAGGGCAAAGCCCTGAATGTTCCGACTGTCTTTTCAGGTCTATAGAGCAGTAAGAACCAGAGCAAAGCCCTGAATGTTCCGACTGTCTTTTCAGGTCTATAGAGCAGTAAGAACCAGAAAAAAAATTGAATATAAAAAAAAATGATTTTTTTTTTTGAAATTTGAGATTTTTTTGTAAAAATTATCCCCCCACATGTCATATAAAATACAAAAGGATAGATTCCGCTCCTATTAACCAACCAATTATGGCAATTAAGCTTCCTTCAATCAATTTGAAACAATTTCTAAGCCGGATTTAATCGCGCGTTAATTATACTGGCAAGTAAGCTTCCTTCAATCAATTGGAAACGATTTCTAAAAGACGGATTTAAACGCGCGTTAATTATCCCAAATTGGCCAAAATAACAATCTTTAAACCCACATAAGTTTACAAAAAATGATCACAGGTGAAATATTTTTCCAAAATTAACCTCAAGACAACAAATAACTTTCGAATGATATTTTAAAAATTCCGTCAAAAATGGCTATATAAAAAGTCGAATTTTGTCTGAAGAAAAAAAACCCACCCGAGCACAAATATTCCATTACGTTTGTTACGAAAGTCGGACAAATAATACATGTAACGCATTTTTTTTCGATTTACCGAAAAAATGACAATTATGAATATTTCATGTAAATTTCTGTATGTATGGAATTGTATGGAATTGTATGGCACTGGGCTTCCATTACTTTGGAATAAATTTTTGATGCTTTGATGGATTCATGATATCGGGAAGCGTATAAGTTTGAGTTAAAATAAATAAGATATCGGTTTAAAATAAAACACATCTTTTTCTAAAACTCAATTTACCAGGAGCTCGTTGCATTTTTTTGCATTTTTGTATAAAAAACAAAAATACATGCACCTTTGTTGGTATAAATGTTTTGCTCCTGATTTATTAGACTGTTAATATTCCATGTATTGTTAGGCTTGGATTAAACCGCTTCAATTTTTTCATCTTCAAAGGATCTTGATGATAGGTAGCATGTGAAGCCAATATTTCACTCCATAAAAGCCGATTCATTCCCTGATGACTAAAAATCGAGCGTCTCTTCAAAAAAGAACTTGATGCTTCCTTTTGTTCAGAACTCTAAATTAAATTACATTCTGATTATAAAACCCGGCGAACAAAACAAATTATCAGGTGGAATTATCATCTCTGTTTTGCGGCTTTATTGCATATATTTTGTAAGTACTTATCAAACACTTATCGTCGCAAATCGAAACTATTCTTAGAGTTTTCTTTAAGAGAACGAACGCTTTTTCATGCGCTGTGTTTCATTGATATTTATGTAAAAGTGGCTAATTTAGGTGCAAGTGAAACTTACTTGGTGTTAATTAGCTGTTCTGAAGGCTTCACTTGGTCGCATTTAATTTTTTTACGCATTATTTTTATGCCCCCCTCTCCCCACAAAAATTGCAATGCATCGCGTCTGGTGTAAATGTAGAGCCTTGTTAGTTACCATTTGAGTTTAAAAATGAAACTTCAAGGGCCTAAAATTCTTGCTTCCCAGACTAATTAGCTGCTCTAGACTCGATCAAGGAGGTTTTTCTTGCAAGATAACCTTGCTTTCAAGATTTCCTTTCTGAGGCAAGGTTTTCAAAAATAGGATTTATTGTTGGGGAAACAGATTTTCCCGCAAATACGCAGTCAAATAGCGCTCTCAGAAGGCGGCCCTTGCTAGGTGGTTACCCCCAAAAGCCAATTATTGAAACCTAGTCTGCTTTTGAGTATCCGTAAGAACACGACATATCAAACATCTTAAGCTAATTGACATCAATGATCAAAAGATATAAATAATCAAAATCTTCTAACTTCTAACTGCTTGATATGCGAAATTAGGGTAAAAATTGAGGTGCAAAATAGAAGAGAAAAAGAAATAATCTCAACTTGGTCATCTTGAGCACTTTCTCCAGATTCAACTCATAGTGACCAAAGTCAAATAGAATAATAAAATTTCCACGCTGTTTTTCTGTTGGTAAAAAAAATTACTTATAAGACTAAAGGTGACCGTTTGCAAGATCATGCCACAATCTTGCAAATTTTGTGAAAAATAACCTCTCCTTTCAAAATACTTGCAAAAGAACTTCCAGTACATAAAAAACTTTGTGATTCCCCTTAAACTACTGCCCAATTTTTTTCTAGTATTGCACGAATTGCCGCCTCACTGATTGTTTTTACTGATTAACTAATTAAAATTTTTTGTAATGTTCGTTAAAATAATATCTAAAGATCTGCAAAACCCGACAAAAACATGCACGAACTATAGTTCTTTTGTAACAATTTTTTAAAAAAGTTTTCATCGGCTATAGATATCTTTACTTTTTGCTGATTTTTGCAAGCAACCAGAAATCTTTCGGTGCTTTTGCACTGGGACATTGGATAACAGCGCAAATTGATAATTAACTGTTGACAAAAAATCAGCCTGCTTTTACAAAAAAACTAAAATAAAATTCAGGCAGCAACTTAGCCAGGCAAAAATCTATTTCCAATGAACCAAAATGTAATTTAACCGTTTGTGTTTGTAATTCTAAGGCGTAGTTGTTGGTTGCTGCATACTTCAATTCGAATTAAATCTATTTGCTTCAAAGTTAGACATTTTAATTTTTTTTCTAGTTAAATGGCTGTGAAAGGTCGAATTTTTCTATGTAGGCAAAACAATTTGGATAACAAAATTGGGTCTGAAAAAATTGCGATTCGAGACCCATCTACCAGTTTATATTATTTATGTAGTAGAAAGCAAAGTAAGATTCGTTAGGCTGATGACTTGAAAATCATAACACGTTCGTTAACCCTTGATTAGACCAAAACTAACTGGCAAGGTTCTAGCAGGTGAAAAACACGTAGACTAGAAGCATCTGACGACAACCAGTCAGGATTTTTTTTCTATTTTCCATCACTGTGTAAATACTGGGCAAATGCTGCTCAACAACCTATTCATCTTAACTGTTGCATCCTTGGATCACACAAATTTGTTCCTCCTCCTATCATCTTATTATTGACTAAATAATAGGTTTGTGATCACAAGATAACCTTGTCTGAATTTATTCAATTTTGCATTTATTTTGCATTTATCCAAGATGATTGTTCGTCCGTCATTCACCACGCCCATCTCATTGAGAAGAGCCTCGTAAATTGCTGCTGTCATTTCCTGGCAAGCATCCTCACTGGTAGATATGGCTGCAGTTGGTTGCTTCTTGGTGCTTCAACTAACTTCTGCCCCTGTCTTCTGCAAACGAAAGCTGTAGCCAGTAGTTGACCTTCTATCATCCAGATCACCAGCTCAGTCAGCAGCTGAGAAATATAGAGTTCTACAACATCAGCTTCCTTGGTGTAGCACAGCTTCAGATCTCTGCTCCCTTTCACGTACTAAAGAGCTTCTTCGTAGCCGTCCACTTCACCCTGTCCAGGTTCTCCAGGAAGCGGGAGAGCTGTGTCACAAAAGCAAGGATATCAGGCCTTGTTTGCTTGGTATGTATAACAACGAGCCCACAATGCCTCTGTAGTCCTCAGCCTTCATGGGCATAGCCTCTGATGACCAGCTTCAGGGCAGTCGTTCTTTGATAGTTGTGAGCTGATATCCACTGGTGTGCCCATTTGTTTGCAGTCAGCAAGACCAAAGCGCTCGAAGTAGTCGTCGGGTCTTTTTTCACAGTATAAGGCTAAAAATTACTGGGAGCCAATTGTGAGCTGCTGCTGTTTTCTAGTAGACCCAGTTGTTACGATGCTTAGAGACACAAAACTGGGCAATAGTTTTAGTAATCAATCAAAAGACTTGCCACTAAGGGCCTGATCCAAAAAAATTACACAATACAGCACCCGCTCATTCAAGCTTTTTCGTCACTTTCAACAAAACCAGGAAAAAACTGCCTGGAGCTATCACAAAAAACCAAAACTTTGTGAAATTGTTGAGGCAATAAGTTCACCTTAATTTCAACTTCCTGAGAGCTCATTCGACGAAGATGCATTTTAGGAAATCCAAAATTATTGGTAATCATAAATCAGCAGAAAAGAAGGAGGGTCAGCCAGTACTACACGGATGTGAGGCGGCATCGCATCAATTAATTGAGACAGATCTCAGGTATTTTTAGTTTCTTTTTTTCTCAGATTACCCTCTTGATGAAAAAAGTCAAGCAACTGGCTAGGATTTCTGTAGTTCACGCCAATAGAGCTCTTTGAAATTCGAACTTGGTGCGAGGAGGTAAACTGCTTTAAAGCTAACTTGCTCCCATAGGGGAATCTTTTCTTCTACCTGTGTGCCCCTCATCTAAAAAAAACTGGAAATTGAATGCATATTGCGCGGGAAATGAAATTACTCTTTAAAATATTTGAAATCAGGTTCATTTGAAATTGCCGGAACTAATTTTAAGAAGAACACTCTAAGATCTAATTAATTTGAATTATACAGTAAATGCTGCTAAAACTGAGTTGGCGACTTCTTGTTTAAACTTAAAATATTATAAAAGATTGTAAAGGCTACGAAAAAAACTGTGGTCTGTGGGCAAGAAGATTACGCTTTCTCCGCTGCGCTTACATCCTGCACGAGCGGAATATTGCGCGTGAATCAGTGTTACCGCTATATCTACTGTTACGAATTGTCGCCTGCTACCAATTGTCGCCTCACGGTAAAAAAAAACAGGTTTATTTAGTCACTTGTATTAAAACAACAACGAGAACGGTCATATTGTTTAAGAGACTAAAGAGTTAATAATGAAAAAAAATACAAAGAGACAAAGTATGATAGAGGATAGGAGAGGTTGAAGAGATATCAGAATAAAAAAAGAGCGATAGAGAAGAAGAGTTCGTTGCAGGACTTGAGTTCCAGAGTTTCTGGAAAGTAAGAACAGGGACAACTATGAAGACTCGCAGATCCTAAATTGAAACAATAATGCCATATTTTTGTTTCGGTTTTCAACTGCAGACTCATCACTATACCTGAGTTTGGCTCTTTTTCCTTTTCCCCCACCTGCAAATTTTTATATTTGAAGTTACTGTTCACTTTTTCCGAATGTCATGAAATTTACATGCAGACTAATTAGGCCATGACAAACATTTTTGGTATTCATAAATAAGGACGTCATGTAAAACTACTCGTTACACCATAATTCATGTTTGAGTGAGTGAGTTAATGGGAGGGGGTGGGGAGGAAAAAGAGCCCTAAGTATCTTTATAGTTAACCAGTCTGATGCCTATAAACCGAAGGTTGATTGCTTAAAGTTAACCAAGCTGAGGCAATATTGCGAGAACTCACCTTGTAAATTGCAGCGCACGTGTGATTTGAACCCACAATCATATGCTTGCTGGGCACCATCACTACCGATGCGCCACAACGCCACAATAAAGATCACGCTAAGTTGGCGCAGTGGTCAAACTTTTTGAATAATACTCAACATTGTCAGAAGAATATTAAACAACAAAATCAAAATTGATTAAAAAATTTTCTTATTTCAAAGATAATTCAAACGACCGTCCTGATTTTATTTATTCTCAGACAAAACAAAAAACCTGAAATTGGTAACTCGTTTTCCTTGATATTAGTTATTTTTGGACAAAAATAGATGAGCACAACAATGACTCATAATGTTATTAAATTTAATGTAACAAAATCTATTTTGCAAACCTCAGACAACCCACAAAACGAAATTTGACGCTTTGAAAGTGGTGTATTTTGCAAGATTTTTTCGAGTTTAATATAACTTTACGAGTTGCCTTTTTGCCGATTACCGTGTGGGGTTCTTAAAACAAAAACTGGATAATTTTATTCCAAAGGGATTTAGTCTTAACGAGGCGGGGGCTGGGGTATGGGAGAGCTTAGACTATGGCGATTTTATACTGGCGGTTGAGTTGAGGCCAATTTCATCTTGGGGGATATTTTCCACGAGCGCAAGAAAAAAAAATTAAATTTTTTTCCGCAACTTTTAGTTCAATGGGAGAATTTTTCATTCATTTTTTTCACCGAAACGTTTCAAGGAAATTTCTTCCTAAAATGCGTTCAAGATTGTTATTTTACTGTAAGTTTTGACTAAAAGCTATCAAACTTTTTAGTACTGTCAAAAGAAAAAGGGTCTTTTTTGTTACACGGCCCAGATTTCATTTTTGCTTGATAGTTTGAAACTTGAATTATAATGCGTGAATCTGATAAATTGAGCCAATTTTTACCTAAGGAAATCTGAAGCTTAACTTCAAA